CTGTGAAGCGACGAACTCTTATTTATTCTGTGACAGTACTTTAATGGCCTGCACAACTTGTGATATTTACGGCTTAAATTCTTGCTAAAACATGCTGATGAAATCTTCCGAGCTGCTAACATGGCTGCTAAAAGAGATTTTAACATATCACACGTGCGCTTAGTAACCTCTCCTCAGCCAGCGGTCTTTTACAAAGGTCGTGCGCAGTAGAGTTCAATGCTTATGATGGCGGAGAATTTGGAGCGTGGTCTGTAAGATTTTGCAAAGAAATTCTTCTTGCACTAGGACGTGTTTCAAATAGGCATGAGTGGCAGGATCTACTGCGGGAGACTGCCTCCCAATGCTTCAGAAAAGGATTTAGAATCTCTGCTGAAATCCTTCGGCAAAATTCGTGACATTGATTTCAAGGAGGGATATGCTTACGCCGTTTTCAAAGACTACAACGATGCTGACAGAGCTGTACAAGAACTCAACGGAAAAGAGTTTATGGGCCAGAATATTCTCGTCGAAAGAGCTAAAGATATTAGAAATGGTGTCGGGGGCTATACCATAGCCGGCGGATACACTGCAAGGGTTCGCCAGCCCAAACCACCCCCAGTGCGGACTAACTTTAGAATCCGCGTCGAAAACCTTCCGGCGAGAGCCAAATGGTCTGAGCTCAAAGAGTTTATGAGCGTAGCGGGAGATGTTACTTTCGCAGATACTCACAGAAGAAGGCCAGGCGAAGGAGTCGTTGAATTTTCAAACAAGGAGGACATGATCAATGCGTTAGAGTCGCTTGACAAGCAAGAGTTCTTGGGAAAGAAAATTAGACTTGTCGAAGAAACTCCTCGTTCTACAAGAGAACGGTCTCTCTCAAGATCAAGGTCTCTGTCGCCACCTCCAAAGAGAAAAAGACATTCTTCGTCGCCTTCTTTGTCTCACTCAAAATTGCGTCGGTCACATTCACGTGATAAGTCACAGTCGCCCGAAAGAAGCAGTAAAAAGCATTCACATTCTGCATCGCCTACTCGTTCAAGTCGTCGTCGATCAAGATCACGATCTTCATCAAATCACAAGTCAAAGTCTCATTCTTCTCGGAGAAGAAGATCACATTCCAAGTCTCCTAAACGATCTCGTCATAAGTCCAGATCCAGATCAAGCTCTAAGTCGAAAAGCAAGTCAGAAAGACATTCCTCGTCAAAAGATAAATCACGCAAGAAGAAGAAACATAAATCAAGGTCTCACTCACGGTCAGAGTCACCGAGAAGACGGAGATGATGACAGAAGACTATCATAGAGACAGACAGCTATGTTTTGAAGATGGTAATATACATGTACTACATGTACTTGATCACATTTCTGTTATTTTTGCTGTACGTGCAAAGTGCTATGGAAATTCTGTTAGGAACAGACATAGTTTTAGACATTTTTTACTAACAGGGTTTCCTGGATGTAATATAACCACTTAAATATTAAGACCACTTGTACTGTATTTTCATGTTCCTTTAGATAATACTGAGTTTGAATTTTCACTTGATAACAGTAAATAGGCTGCACTAGGCAAGTTTAACTCTTTAGCTCCCATGAGTGACCAAGACAGAATTTCTCCCTACAATACCAATACAGTATCAAGCAAACAGGTGAGGAGAATAAAGTTGAAAACTCAACTAGGGGACTACAAGTTGATTCAATACCAAATTCTCCAAACTGACATCATGAGTATTTAATGACAGGCAGTAGGAGGAATTACTAATGAGATCTGGGGAGTGAAAGGGTTAAATGCAAAGAATACTGCAAGAAAAAGGTGACAGTTTATCTCATTTAGTGAATATTTACTATCGTGTAGCACGTAAATGTTGTGGGAGTTTTATTTTGCAGAATGACCATTTGTTTGAATTGGAATTTCAAGGAGGATCTAGTTTGTGCAGTTCTTAGTTAACAAAGGTAACATCAATAAAGAAAGGAAAGTTATACTGTTATATGAAATTTATAATTTGTCAAGTTGTGCAAAGTGGAGCTATATAAGATATGATTTATAAATGGATATTTTGTGCAAATCCAACTTTAAATTGTAGAAATTTAGATATTTTTACTCCATTCAGTTTGAGTGAAAGAAAGTTTTATTTTGTCTGATTTTTTCATCAAATATAAAAATCTAGAACCCTTTAATTTTTTGTGCAGCATTGAAGTTTTGTCTTGTTTCTAACCAGTAGAAACAGGTCTTTTTTTTACAGTGAATGACAATAATGAGAATGCATATTTACAACAAGTTATGAGATTTCAATTCATGTATGTGTTTCATGTATCTCAGCATTCACATGTCGAAGGCTTAAGTTTTCTCCACATTATAGGATACAAAGCTCGTTTTTGGAGTTACACATACACTATACTTGTTCTTTGGTTTGCAATTAATGTGTAAATTACATTCACCATACTTGTGTACACTTATTTTTGAAGTATGTCACTTTGCTTTGCTAGTAATAGTAGGGTGTGTGTGTCCTTACCAGAATCACAGTTCCTTGAGTTGGGAATACTGTAATGCAGTGCACTCTTTATGTGCACTAATTACATTCTTGTAGTAACCAAAACTCATTCAATAGTGGTAAACGACAGCATATGCTCAAATTTTATTTTGTTTTATTGGAGTTTCTCTTGTTAACAAAGTGAGTTTTTCCCTTTCATGTGTTTAAAGGATGGTGTGACTTTTCATTAAAAGGTCATAAGGTATGTTTTACTGAAAAAAAAAAAAAAAAGGATTTTTAAGTGAACTTTCTTGATTCTGGCAAGTTTTTACATGTGCTAGTTAAAAGTTTCCATGGACAAAAGATTGTGTTATACATGGTATAAGGTTATATATATGTGAAATGACTTGTACAGCTCTAGACAATTTTTAATGGAACATATTAGAGCAGAATCCCTCTATGAGGGATGTACATGACAGCCAGACCAATGCTGGAAAAAACTGGACATTCCAAGATGGAAGAAATGTAAATAGAAGGAGATGGAGCAGAAGTTGCATATTCTCCACACTTTTCTCTGCACATCACAATGGTATTAACAAGAAGAATTTGGTAAAGAATCAAGAGCTTCAGTCTGTAGTTGGTGATCATTTCTTTTTTGTTCATTATTTAGTGGAGATACTGTAATGAGGAATTAGATACTTGTCTCTGTTAGGGGTTGAAAGGTGTAAATGAGTTTGGTTGGGCCAGATCTAGATAATAAAGTATTTAGCACAAGGTCATGGGATGGGGAGCTCACTGTTCTGCCCATGTGTCATGACCTTGAGCCAAACAACTTCCCATCTGGCTCTCCCACTCAGTTGATAACTACATAGCACTATCAGACTTTCTGCCTCAGGATATAATTCAAGGAAGTTTTGTTGAATGGATTAACAGTGATCTTCATGTATGGCAAGCAAAATGAGAAAGAAACTGTCTTATTAGCAAAGATAAAGTAGCAATAAAAGTAAGATAACTTTCAAAGATGTTATTTGGGAATTCCAGACAAACCCCAATAAACTTGTAAAATGCCAGCTTGACAATTTTCAACTTGAGCTGTTAGTGACCTGTTCTAAGTATCCCTAATTTTGTCCAACTGTTCCTTGTTATCAGGTATTTCTGTTTCTTGAGATAATTATTTTGCCCTTGTAAGCTCTTAGAGTGGATGGTGGTAGTTTATCTAGTACAGCCCATTTCCAAGCCCTCAGTAGTCGAGATCTGGTCCCGAAATAAAGCCCCGAGAACGAGGCTAGGTGCAAATTAGGTTTCGAAGGTACGAAGAAAATAAAGCTAAGGTTTCGAGGGTTACCTCCAAGATTAATTGTTTATCAAGAAAACTGATCGAATGTTCTTTCGTTCTATTTTATTTAAAGAACTGATAAGGATTGGAACGTTTGACGGCTAACCTAAGCGGCATCCCCCGGGATGCTAAAATTACCCAAGACCCCCTTAACGCTATTTCTGCAGTTGCACCGCTTCTTTATAAAATTTCATGATAACCTAAAAGCTACTCGATAAGATATTCTTCAAAACTGTTAGAGTTATTCCCATACTCAAAATATTATCATCAGTAAAAGACGGAGAAGATATAGCGACAACCATTACTAATTACTAAAAAATAATCTGTGATTTCATCTGCACTTTTACGTTTTACACTTTTATACATTGTTTTTACATGCTAGCTGAACCATCCATACCTATCGCCCATGCAGGTTTTAAAATCATAAAATCGATCCTTCTAGACAAAATACAAATAGCTCCATCAATTTCGTTACGAAGAATTTTCTTCTGATCTATATGCTTACTAGTTCAAATCTAGTCTCGGTTCCAGCCTCCTCTCATTCGGCTGTGATAAACAACCGTCTGGTAACTTAACGACGCATCTTGCTATGGCGGGTGGAGGAGGAATTTTTTTTGGGGGGATCACTTGTTTTTCAGGGGAAACGTAGTGGCATCAGTCATCACCATTAGGGTAAAAGAGGGATCATTAGCACTCGACAGAGCCTCATGGGGAAATCAGGTAAATTTTATAGTGAAAAAACCAAATCATCCGTTTATCACCCCCTCTTCCCCTAGACGACAAATAATGACTGGTCCCTTATCGTGAAGGGCTCAAGAAAATACTAGTCGCTATCTTCATTGAAG